TGTGGTGCCCCTGACAAGCCTATAGTGTCCCTGACAGGCACGTGGTGCCTCTGACAGGCCCAAGGTGCCCCTGCGAGGCTGGTGGTGCCCCTGGCTGACCTGTGGTGCCCCTGCTAGACCTCTGGTGCCCCTAACAGGTCTGTGGTGCCCCTGAAAGGACTGTGGTGCTCCTTGGCCCTGACAAGTCTGAGGTGCCCCTGACAGGCACGTGGTGCCCCCTGACAAACCCGCAGTGTCCTTGCTAGGCCTGTGGTACCCCTAGCGGGCCTGTGGTGCTTAAAATGCTGATAAAAATTTAAAAATAAAAAGTGCCTAAAAATTTTATTTTATATAATTTTCAAATTCTTAAAAATTTTGAAAATCCGAGATACCATTTTGATAGCGCAGACTACCTTGAGTCCTCTCATGCAAAGAAATTGGATCTAACTTAAAAACTCAACTCTTGGGAGCGATTGCCGTGGTTCAATGTTTTGTGTCGAAATCGGCCGAACATGACGTGACTCTGACGTTATTTCCGGCCGACCTATGGTAGATACGAAGTTCAAATTTTGATGCAAGGTGTCAAATAGATGCAGCCGAATGTACTGAAAGTTTGGCCTCGATACGTCAAGCGGTTTGGAAGTTATTGCAGAAAAACGGGAGGGGGCTATGAATAGCCCCCCCCCCCCCAAGTGGGGCGCGGGTTAAAGGAAATAGTTCACTTTTTAACATGGGTTTTGAATTGGAATAGCAGTTCTGTAGCTTGGGCTGAGACGAGCATAAATCAGGAGCTTTTACAGCCCAACGATCACCCTAGGCAAAGATATTCTATTTCTCGTCCCGAAAAAGGTGTCTTGCGTTGAGGATGTGTGCCTTGCATATATTTCCATCCAGTATGAAAAGAGCATGGGTCCCGAAAATTCTTCAGAAACTAGAGAAATTATCTACGAGAACTCTAGAGAAATTCTCGTACTGATCAATTAGGACATTCAGGGGAACATTATCAGATCGAGCAGATCGCCCAAATGCCGGTGGCTGCGATAATTTCTCTGTTTCTGAAGAATTTTCGGGACCCATGCTCTTTTCATACTGGATCGCGTGTGCCTTACAGAAACTGAAAAGTTCTTCCTATATCAAAATATAGAAAATAATCTTTTGTTATAAAAAGGTTTTATTTTCTTTGCTGATTATTTTGAACATAAAAAATCATAAATCCGTTGCAAAAAAAATAATTTCGTGAAAGTGAACTATTTCCTTTAATGTAATGTCAAAGTACGAGATCATATCGGACGCACACGGCCATGCAAGGTCATCGATGACATCAGAAATGTGATCATGCCTCCTTCTACCTGAGATCACCCTAGCTGCGAAATTAAGCACCTTCTGAAGCTTAGCTACAGTGGTGCGGTTTGCACTACCGTAAACTGACGCACAATACCGCACATGAGAGAGAACCAGAGCATCTACAATCCTCGGCAAGATGTTCTTCGGGATGATGTGCCTGATGTGGGTGAGTCCGATGAGGATGCCGAAACAGCGTTTTATGACGTTGTCAATATGTGGCTCCCATGATAATCCGCCATCCATGATAACACCGAGGTTTTTCACAGTGTTTGATAGGGTGAGTGGTTCGCCCATGAATGCTATTTCAGGCGGGTCTCCAATTTGGATCACCTGCCTCCGGTCGCCGTACATGAGGAGCTCGGTTTTACTGGCATTGACTTTCATGCCGTGCTAGGGAAGCCAGGTACACAACGTGTCAAGCAGGCTAGCTCTCGAACTCAGCTCTGGCAGGCTACTGCGAGGACCTGATATGGCTATCTGTGTGTCATCAGCATAACGAGCCGAGAAGGTGTTGAAGCCGTTGATGCTGTCGGGTATGTAGCAGCTGATGCTGTTTCTGACCACGTTGAACAAGAGTGGGCCGAGACAGGTACCCTGGAAAGTGCCAATTTCGATGGGGCGGGGCTCAGAGAGGGTGTCGCCTATCCGCGCACGAGGCGTATGACCAGCCAGGTAGCTCCTGATCCAGCCTGTGGAGATCTGGAGCTTTCCAGACTGTCCAGAAGTGTCGCGTGGTCCACGACATCAACACATCGACTGAGGTCAACCAAGGCTAACAGCGTGATTTTGGAGTGGTCCATGCCCTGCAAGATTTGTTCAGTCATAGATAAAAGAGCCGTGGTGGTTGAGTGACGCGCCATAAAACCATGCTGATCCGGACTAAAAAGGCAGTGGCGATCGAGGTAAGTGGTTAGCTGACGATGGACTAGCTTTTCGACTATCTTGCATATGGCTGGCACGTTAGTGATAGGCCTAAAATTTTATGCCTGTGAAGGATCACCTCTCTTATTGAGAGGAATCACTATGGCGCACTTCCAGCTACTTGGGACTGACTTTGTTACTATGCTGGTGTTAATAATGTGCAGCAAGTGACGACCAATGTATGTACATAAAACATAGCTTTAGAATATTGACAGGTACATCACCCGGCACACCAGAATCCTTGTCAGGCAAGCTGAGAATGACACGTTGGAGCTCGAGAAAATAACCAGATAGTTTTTTCTCTGCACTCAACATTTTTAAAGCTAGAAGCCTGATTTTTCGTATAGCTGCTTCTCTATACTTTCTCAGCGTCCAATGAAAATTTCAAGTTTCTGTGTTTTTTGGTTTCGGAGATATGACCTTGTTTTTCAGGTCATGTCATGACCCAAATGACCAATACTCAACATCTTGCGTTGGCTATGGGTCTTCAGTCTTGTGAGCTTTTGACACCTTGATTTCTATAGCCTTTGTTATTGCTAGTCCTACCTCCGACCTACCATGGAACATGTTATTCGACGATGTGCAGATGCCAGGGTCAGGGTCAAGGCCAAGCTAGGTCATCATTGCATTCTAGGCTTGCTGAATTTACTTTTCGTGAAGTTTTTTTTACTGCATTTTTGGTAAAAGCTTCTCAGATCGTGATCTCATGTAATAGGGACACACAAACCAATCATACACACAGACATACAAACACATATCATTGACCTTGACCTAGTTTGACCTGAAATGACCACAGCCAGTAAAAACCTAGTCGGATACTGTGACAAAGGGCGGTTCTAGCTGGCTTAGCACCACAAACGGCAGCGCCATCGGTATGTGATGGGCACCGCACGTGATATTCCAACGGTAGGCCCAAACAGCAACATTTTTAGTTTGACCTGACCTGGAAGGTCAATGACTGACACAATATGAGGCAAAATTTGGTACCATTGGGTTCGTCCCTTCCCAAAGAATCTGTTGGTTTTGCCGCGAAGCTCTTTCTCCAGCAGGAACGAAATGGCGCGGGGGGGGTGGCAACCTCCCATGTGCGTTCTAAGATGGGAAAATGGCATGTGCGTGCGAAGGTTAACCCGCGCCCCACTGGGGTCTGTGTATAACACGCCCTACTGGGGGGGGCTATTCATAGCCCCCCCCCCCCTCCTAACTCCGAAACTACTGGGCCGATCGTCAAAATTCAAACGGCATCTGATAGCCCCGGAAAAATTGTCGAGCGAAACCTAATTTTATTGACCTCGAGGTCACCGATGACGTCACAGGTCAGGTCAAAGTAAAAATTATCGATATTTGGCTTGTTCACATTTTGGGCTCTGGCCGTCGTCTTACAAGTCAGATCAGGCTGATTTTTGGTTAGCACACTCGTGAATAGATACTTTAGATCCCCTGAGGGTACCAAACTTGTACTTTGATTTTCGGGTCAGGGTCAGGTCATCATATGTCACGGAAATCTTATGCGGCCCTGGTGGCGCAGTCGGTTAAGGCGTCGACCCGCGGTGCGGGCGGTGCCGGGTTCGATTCCCGGTCCTGCCCGTTCCGCGGGCGTCGTCCCCGGCTGTGTCACCAGGTGTGGGGTAGGCTCCCACTTCAGCCGTAGCCTGGGGGGTGGGGGAGCAAGGGCCAGGAGGAGGAGGAGCCCTCCTGTAATTGGGCCACAAATGCCCGTTGGAGGGGGGCCTGAATAAATAAAAAAAAATGTCATAAGGCGTTCACGTGACACATGTTTTATGGTCCATTTAGGACATAGATTTCGAATTCAGTGTCGCCTGTGTCATTTGAGGCCACTTTCATTTGAATATAGCTGAGGTTAGGTCACTTTCAGGTCAAAAAAGGTCAAATTTCAAAGTTGAAATTTTTTGAATAAAAAACATGTCTATCGGATGCATTTTGAGCTCAGGAACACGATGGTGCTATTTATATTGTTGTACGATGTCAAATTCGTACAGAAAATTTGACTTGAAAAAATTTTAAATTGTGAAATGTTTGCTATAATGCGTATAACTTGGCCATTTTTGAAGATATCTGGGCTCTGGCTAAAACTTGCTAGAGTAAGTCATAAGCATGTGTTCTATCATATAGATTCCGGTTTTTTCGAAAAGTCAAAAAGTTTAAAAAAATATAAAAATACAAATTTTGAATTCTAATAAAAATAATTTTCAAAATTTTCAAAATTTTGAAAACTCGAGATGGCAGTTTGATAGCGCATTCCATTCTGAGTCCTCTCATGCAAAGAAATTGGACCTAGCTCAAAAACTGAGCTCTTGGGAGCGATTCCCGTGGTTCAATGTTTTGCGTCGAAATCGGCCGAACATGACGTCACTCTGACGTCATTTCCGGCCGACCTATGATAGATACGATGTTCAAATTTTGACACAAGGTGTCAAATTGATGCAACCGAAGGTACTGAAAGTTTGGCGGCGATACGTCAAGTGGTTTAGAAGTTATTGCAGAGAAACGGGAGGGGGCTATGAATAGCCCCCTCCCCCAGTGGGGCACGGGTTAATCCATGTTATTCAGTGTCTACTGCTTGCATTATAGGCCCGTACTGCTTGCATTATATCTCAGGGTGCTGCAAGTCGTTATGTCGATGTCAGCAGTCATTCTGTTGTGGTCGAAATGCTTCTGCAATAAATCCTTAAATCCTCTGCAGCCGTCAGGTGCCCCCCCCCCCCCACTGTGAGCTCCCGTTGCCGTGCCCGCAGGACACTGCAACGGCGTCCCAGGACCGGCCGGAGCCGGAGCACTGGGCACGCAACTCGGACCGACCCAAGACGGCAGCCGGCTCCAGGTCAGTCCGAGTCCCCCGCTCATGGGCCCAACCCAATCTTACCAATGCCGTGAATAGGCGAAATGCCGTGAATGGACTAATGGAGCCCATTCACGGCAACGGCATATTACCAATGCCGTGAATAGATATTCACGGCATCTCATTCACGGCATGCGGTAGATGTTTCTCCACGGCATTTTGGCAGTGCTTTAACATGGGCAGTGGCCACTGAACTCTATAATGTGGAAGGCGCATCGGCCGCGGGTGAGACTAAATGCTTACTTCGAAATCTAAGCTGCGTTGCGGCATTGGCGGTTATGTGCGGCGTGTATGCCGCATGATTAGTAAGCGGCGACCACTAAATTAAAGACTCAAACGCTCCGACCGGTTTTCAATGAATAACACTGTATACCAAAAATGCCAACCGCTCTCGTCATAAGATATTTAGCTTTAAATAACTAGGTTATCTACATCATCATTTTGAACCAAATTATGCTTTCAACTTAACCCTCGCCGGCACAGGGGCAACCCCCTTAAGGTTATTCGCAAGTAACTCGCGTAAAAAGCGGCCGATCGCGACGAAACTTTCAGTACCCTCGCATTGATCAATTTTACACCTACCCTGAAAATTTCATGACCCTGACCCAAATGACCGTTGAGCTGTGGCCTACTTTCCGAGACCATGTTTGGCCGGAATCGCGATTCGGCGTATGTCGGCTCGCATTAGCCACGCGTTTGCAAGCTTTTCGTGGTTTCAAACGTTCAAACATGTGATTTGATGTTGCTCCCATGCATTAGGGTGGATGTCAAGGTCACCTGAAGGTCAGGTCAGGTCATTGACCTTTGGTGACCTCGGTTCACTTTTCGAGTTTTACATGTTTCTAGGCTAGTTTTTAGAGCTGATTTCGAATTTAGCAACCATTTGAACATTTACGATGTAGTTTTGGTGCATTCCTAAAATGTTACGAAGCTGCAGAAGCGGTTCACACGTATTACGAATACCAGTCACGACCCCTACCGGTTAACCTGACCTGACCTGACCCGACCTGGTCTAAATGCTTAAAGACATCATCTGATCAAAACTTACACGATATTCGTGATCAGCACCCCGGAAAACCCCATGGCAGCCACACTTAACGACTTTCTAACAGGTCCCAATTTTCCCGATTTTCGGGTCATTGACCTGACCTGGAAGGTCACCCGATGACCTAGGACCTTAAAATTGGATATATCGGCTTACTCTCGTAACGGGCAACACGCTCGTTTTTTCCGCGAAGCTTTAGCTCGATCAGGGGCCAAACGCGGGGGGGGGGTCGTACCCCCCTTGTGCCGTCGTAGGACGCAAAATGGCCTGTGCCGGCGAGGGTTAAAATTGGGTATCATCGGCTTCCTTTCGTCACGGGCAACACGCTCGTTTGGGTAGCAAGGAAATCGCATGCGAGAGCCTATTCAAATTCTTACCTCGGCCTTTATATGCACCAGTCACATACAGGTACGGGATTTAGCATACGATTTCCAGACAATCGAAAGACTGTTTGGAGCCAACAAAGGAAGGGATGAGTGAGTTAAGTTGAAAGTATTAATTTGGTTCAAAATGATGATGTAGATAACTTAGTTATTTAAATCTAAATATCTTATGACGAGAGCGATTGGCATTTTTGGTATGCAGTGTTATTCATTGAAAACCGGTCGGAGCGTTTGAGTCTTTAATTTAGTGGTCGCCGCTTACTAATCATGCGGCATACACGCCGCACATAACCGCCAATGCCGCAACGCAGCTTAGATTTCGAAGTAAGCATTTAGTCTCGCCCATCGGCCGCCAGATGGTGTCCAACGGTGCCGCCATGTTGCGCAGACCAGAAAGCGGCCGCCGCCTGTGTTGGGGAATAGGGAATTCCGGACCTCGATTTACGTTTGCGGCCGCTGCATCCGTTACGTTCAAGCTATGTAGACACGGAACCCAGCATTTTACGCAGAATTGAGTGGAGAACAAGATGAAAACTTAAAAAATCCTCAAATACAGGTAACTTATACGTTAAACCCTTATAAGTCAATTGGGAAACATGGAAATTGCTGTTTTGGCGCCGGGAATGGTCTGAACTATCTCAAACATATAGAATCGTGATTTCATGCATTCAGGGGCGTCGCCGACGGGGGGGGGGGGGGGTCGCGGGGGTCGTGACCCCCCCACTCGTCAGAGCCGGGGGGTCGACCCCCCACTTTTGGCGATGCTGAGTATGCTTTTTTAGCTATCGTGTCAGGGAAGTTGGCTCAGCAACATCAACAAATACAACGTCAGATTCAGAATCGCTTCAAGAATCAAGAGCTTCCGTAGTCCCTATTGCTTATAGGTCAATAAGCTGTGGGCTGGAACATCAGCATGGTAATATGTTAAAGTAGCTACTATTCTAGTCCCTTTTTATCCCTCAAATGAGCGAGCGCGTCAAAACTGACCCAAGCGTTCGTCTGATTGTCAAAATAATGGTTGCAGTCGATTCGTCGGATGGCGTATCAGTAACTACGAGGTACCTGGCTAGCCTCAGCCCTGACTACCCTCGGACCTGCCTGCATAGGGGAAATGGGGTCAGATGGTGGACCCCTCTTCGGGCTTTCCTAATAAGCCGCGCAAAAAGGAGTATATTGCAACGAAACTTCCAGTGACCTCGAGTTAATGAATTTTACACCTACTCTAAAAAAATTTTGGCCCTGATTCGAATATGGATGACCTTGGTTAACTTATTTTTAGTTTTATTTGCTTCCACTACAAGTGTAGTTTTTTGGGGCTGATTTCGAGTTTAGCGCCCGTTTGAACATAAGAAGTAGTTTTGATAAATGGTGGTTATGTAACATGTTACGAAGCTATCGTTGGTGGTTGTCAGTCACCCACTCTAGATGGCCGGCAGGAAGCCTGCTGGTCGACCTGACCTGACCCGACCCGATCATACCCCAAATGCATGGAGTCATCATCTTTGTTCAAAACTAACATCGAACTCGTACTCGGGACCCCGATAACAGCTACGGCTCGATAAGTTCTAGCCCACCGTTCCGTGCTTCTATCCTCAGGATACTGAAATCCTTCTCCTCCACGCCGCAACCACCCTTCAGGCTGGACAGGCAACTTTATCTCATGCGGGCTGCTCCCTTGGAGCGGCACCGCTGCTCCCGAGGGAGCGCACCCCGTAGCCGGGTGCAGTGAGTACCTTGGGGCTGGTCGGCCTGTCCTTCGGGATGGGCTCAGCCCCGGTGACTCACTAGGGTGCCTGCCCAGACCAATGTCTCCCCCTAATTCCTATCATCCTTCCGGCTCTGAAATGGTCTAATTGGACCGAAAGGGCCTAACCCAACAAAAAAAAAAAAGTTCTAGCAGGCGGCCAGATTTTACCTACTTTTGGGCGTTGACCTAAGATGACCCGGCCAAGACCTTGAAATTGGGCATCATTGGCTTTCACTCATCACGGGCAGCATTCTCGCTCTTCCGCGAAGCTCTACCTCGATCAGGGGCCGAAAGCATGCCTTAGCGTTTCGTTGGAAAACGTTTTTTTAGCGACCCGTAAAACACGAATAAGAGCTACAGCGACACAGAAAGCGTATTCGATAGCTTTTTTAAAGCTCTTTCGCCAACTTCGCCTCAGATATGACTTCGGGTCTATGGCTTGTGTATCATAGAGTCCAAACAGCTAAGCTAAACAGCTAAACAGCAGAAGTCGATACCGCGGCGAGAAGGCCTGAGGTAGGTGCAGCGACGTCCGACTGCTGCGGAAGCTCCAGGAGTCGGTCGGCAGTGCTAGCGATGGTCGCAAGGTCCGTCCCAGGCGGCAGGCACTGGAGGAAGGGCTGAGTCCGAGGCGGAAGAGCATTGAGGAAGATCTGGCGGAATGAGCGGGGAATCTTGTGAGCCTTCAGCTTCAGCAAGGTCCAGGAGATGCCGAAGGAATTGGGAAGGACGCCTGTCGCCGAGTTGTTGGCCAGAGAGCAGGCAGCAGAGACGTTGTTCGACTAATTTGCCGAACCGCTGACGGATGGCGTCGGAAAGGATGATGTAAGGTGTGTCAACTTATTGTATTGTATTGTATTGTATTAATATTAAATGTCCGTCCGTGTTCCCACAGTTTTTCAGGACATTTTAACACGGCAGTAATGTAAACACAAATTTCCACACAGATGTACACGGCAGTGCCAACGTACGGTAACATACACCACATGGCGCACAGCAAGGCGCAGAGTACACACTAGAGACGTCAATCGGATACCGACTTTTTGGTATACCGATACCAAACCGATACCAACTTGGTATTTGGTATTTCAATCCTAATGTGTTTGGTATTTTGTTGGTATCATGAACCCCCACTAATGTATAAGAGGCTAAGAAATCGGTAAAAGTTGGTATTTCCCTCATGTTCCCAAGTTGGTTTGGTTTCGGTATTTCTCCACGGTTTTGGTTGGTATTTGGTTTGGTATCGGTATTCCGATTTTCCGTAATTGACATCACTAGTACACACTACACATTACACAGTATACGCGATCCGTGATACTATCCCTGAGCATGTGAGCTGGTATGGTTCACGCGTTTTTGCACCTAAGTTTTTTCCTGAATTCTTTTCTGACCCTGTTTGTGTAGTTTCTATTGGAAGTCGATTCCATTCAGTTGCAGCTCGGTACAAGATACCTATAAGAAACAGGTAGGTCCGATGTTTTGAGTAAAGCCCACGTAAAGCCCTGGTGACGTCACTGACATTTCTTATATGGAGAATTTCGCCATAAGAAAAATATTTTACATACGAAAATTTGTATTTCATTCGGAAAAAATACATTCTATCAATTTCATCATGAAACTTATATAATTTAATTAAAAAACTTGAAATCCTTTGAGTGCTTGTCCCAACCCCTGCTATACCTTTGGTCACGTGACTTCCATGATAAACTTTGCGTTTTGCAATGTTATGACTTAACAGAAGCAATAATGTTACAAGCGTATTATTTATGATGTTTTAGGCAGCAATCGTGTAATAACATCCTTGAAT